ATAATCATTGCTGGGTTTGTCTTGCTTTGTTCAAATTTGATAATTTCCCGAAAGGCTGGATCACATTTCAGGGAGGTGAGTATCTTTTCCTTTCAATACCTTCTGTAATCACTTGCGACATACTGTTGCTCAGCAAATATGAATTTAATTAAAATAAGCGAAGGTGGGTTTCTGGCGTGAAACACCCAGGCGATAGATTCTCTTTCTGTGTCGCTTGTGTCCTGGGTTCTTGGCATGAACAGCTGTCTATGAAAGCTTTGTCGAAAGGCCACCAAAATGTGTTCTGGACATTTACATCTCTCCCAAAACACCTGTAGCTTTCCTCGCTGAAGGATTTTCGAAAAGGTGTAGGAGGGGGAATGGGGGCCCAGAATGAAATTGCCTGTGGCCTTCAGATGGCTGATTCCCTGCCTCGTGGAGGAGGACGGAGCCTACCTCCTCTTGCTGCAGAAGTCAGAGCCAAGACCAACTGACTTGCCGCAGAAGTCAGAGCCAAATTGGCAAAGAGGTAGATGCGGTTCCGGGTTCAGTGTAGAGACCGACTCTCTCCCAGGACGGGCTGGCCTACCAAGGATCGCACTGCTTTGTCAAGTAGGGAGCTTGCTGACATTGGGGGTGCTCAGGCAAGGGGTGGACATTCACCCGAATAGCTTCTGTCCAGTGTATTCCTGCGTGGACAGAAAGGCTCGGTGGGATTCAGAGTTCTCAAACCCGTCTTCAGGATGTCAGGGAAGCCCCCAACCTTGAATAACTGTGTACACATGCACACATAAGCGTTTTGTCTGTACTTTTTATTGACTGCGGATCCGAGTCTATCATCCAACGGAAGTGAACAATGCCTGGATTCAGTGGAATTTCCCACCTATCTTTGAAAGACTTGGAATTCTGTTTTGGGGACACCTGGAGTTACTTCCAGTAGACCCGGGAGATTTGTTGTGTCTTCCACAGCTTGGATTGCACAGAGAAGTCAGTCATCTATGCCATTGAGTCTGCTGTAATCCAGTGGAGCCGCCGGGTCCAGGGGGTGCTCAAGAGAGAGTCTTCCCAGCCCCTCCTACAAGGGGAGAACCCCACCCCTAGGGTGGAGTTGGAGTTCTGGAAGAGCAGGTAGGCGCATGCTCAAATCCTGGGGCGTAGATGTCTTACCAGGGATGATGGTGGCCTGGGGGGAAGGGGCAGCCACTGAGTCTGGTCCCACCCCCGGGGACTTTTCACCACTGGTTGGGTCAACACAGGTGTCCCAAGCGCCGGAAAATGCTTAGCTGTCTTTCCTTTCTTGAGCTATGATCTGTCTACCTGCTGACACTTCTTCAAAGGTGCTTTCAACCAAATATAAAACTAATGAACTGTCACGTTTTTTCTTCTACTCCTGTATCCCCTCCTCCGTGGACAGTCGAAGCCATACGCACACTTCTTGTAAAGATCTGGGGTTCTGGCCGTTGGCTGCCTGCAAAACGGCCTTTCCTAGGGCCCAGTTAGTCATCGGGAGGGCTGGAAATCCCATCCTCCAGGGCGTCCCAGCCCCTGCGGGATTCTGGAAAGACCTGACTGGTGCTCCCACTCCTTCCCCCTCAGGCTCTCCTGTTTCCCTGCTTCTGTTTATTGCCGTGCCGAGTGCTCCTTCACTGAAAAGGAGACAGAAAGATGTTTGAGGCAGACGCCCCTGTCCTCGCATTGAACGAGAGTGTCCCTGTCACGTGGCCAGGCGTACCGGTAGGGCTCCGGCCCTCTGTGTGCCCCAGCGCTGAGACGCCCCATCCTCTTGCCTCGTCACTGACCGTTCCTCTGACCT